TGCCAGCCAGGCAGCTCCTTGACTCTCCCTTTACCTCCTTGATGTTGCAGATGCCAGCCCATCTTCCTCACCTGCGTTGTCTTTTAATCTTATGCATTTGTTTTCATTTTATTTGAAAGGCAGAAAGAGCCAAAAAAGAGAGATCTTTTATCCAGATGTTCACTCCCCTCAAATGCTTAGAACAGCTGGGGCTGAGCTGGGCTGATGCCAGGTTTTCCATGCGGGTGGGAGGGATTCAAGTCCTTGGGCCATCATCTGCTGCCTCCCAGGGTGCACGTTAGCTGGAAACTGGGTCAGAAGCAGAGGAGCAGGACCTCAGACCAGGCACTCCCTGATGTGGGATGCAGTTGTCCCAAGCGTTAACTTAGCCACTTGCCTAACGCCCTTCCCTTTTCAGTATCAGATTAACGTGCACCAGGGGAGGCTCCCTCCCGAGAGTGATTTCAAGGCCACCCAGTCTCTTTTTCTGCAGTGCAGTCAGCCTGTGGCTGGTGAGCTCGTCCTGCTGGGAAGGCACCAGCTCTTTCCGTCCTGTTGCTCTCTGGTGATGAAGATCGCCATGGGGCCCCAAATGCTCCCATGCTCCTCCTGTCACAATGACCTCTGCTTTCCGTCTGCAAGTGGGAGCCCGAGCCTGGGCGCCTTTTGGAGCACAGGGGCTTTCCTTGTCTGCAGGTGCCCAGCATCTCGCTGGCACCTGGCACCCGGCCATTCTACAGAACAGGAGCCTCCCAGCCGCCTCGTGTTGAACGTCCATCTGCCCTATTCTGTCTTTGACCTTCAGGCCCAGAGGAGAGAAACTGGCTCACCCTCAAAACCTCAGGCCTTGGATTCTCCAGCTCTGGGTCCAAGTGTGGGCTTCATTGGTTCCTTGGGTGGGGTGCAGGCGCTGGATCTGTCTGTCCAAGTGGACTCCCCCAGGCTTATCCTCCCTTATCCTCCCCAGGAAGGCAAGGGAGGAGCCCTGGTCCCCAGTATGGTGAAACCTGGCCTCTGTCCTGCCACCTCAGGGCTGGGTTTGAGGTTGGGAAAAGGGTCAAGTGCATGTGTGAATGCTCAAGGCTTACAGGAAGCCCTAACATGGTTCTTATTTATTTATTTATTTATTTATTTTAACAGGCAGAGTTAGTCAGTGAGAGAGAGAGAGAGAGAGAACGGTCTTCCTTTTTCTGTTGGCTCACCCCCTAAATGGCCGCTACAGCCAGTACGCTGTGGCTGGCGCGCTGCACCGATCTGAATCCAACAGCCAGGTGCTTCCCCCTGGTCTCCCATGTGGGTGCAGGGCCCAAGGACTTGGGCCATCCTCCACTGCCCTCCCTGGCCACAGCAGAGAGCTGGACTGGAAGAGGGGCGACCGGGACAGAATCCGGCGCCCCAACCAGGACTAGAACCCGGTGTGCCAGCGCCGCAGGCGGAGGATTAGCCTAGGCCGGCTGGCCCTAACATGTTGTAAGCAGCCTGCCTCCTAGTTGGGTGTGCCTGGCCCTCAGGAGCACGCGGGCCAAGCCAGCCAGGCCTGGTGGTGCCCATGGCCCCTCTCTCCATAGTTCCGCAGAGGTGGATCGCACGGTGCCCCTGCCCATTGGAGGCCTCAGCTACGTTCAAGGCCACACCAAGTTTCGTCTCATCAACAAGACCGTGGGCCAGTGTCTGGACCTCACAGCACAGAGGGTCCCAGACCAAGAGGCCTTGGTGGTCCTCCATGAAAACATCCGGCTGACCTTTGCCCAGCTCAAGGAGGAGGTGAGGCCTGACCTGGAGCCCTCGCAGTGGGCAGTTGCTAGCCCCTAGGCTGCCCTGGTGCTGTGAAGCCATGGGGCGGGGCCTGAGGCCTTCTGTCCCAGGTCGCCCCTGGAGCCCTTGTTAACTTTGTGCAGACCCAGTGAGGCCTGGGGATCTGCTTGTCCCTAACGGGAGGGTGGGGGTCATGGCCCTTTCTCCTCACCTCGCCCTGTGCCCCGCCCACTTGCCCCCAGGTGGACAAAGCTGCTTCTGGCCTCCTGAGCATCGGCCTCTGCAAGGGTGACCGGCTGGGCATGTGGGGCCCCAACTCCTACGCCTGGGTGCTCATGCAGTTGGCCACCGCCCAGGCAGGCATCATTCTGGTGAGGCGGGGATAGATGGTGAGGGGATGTCACTTATGGCCCATCGAGGCAGAGGGTGGGGGTGGGAGTGGGGGGCGGGATCCTAACTCAGCCTCCTGGGAGTGGAAAGGCAGCAGGAGAGACAAGGTCTGCCCAAGGACACCGACACGCCCCACACGCCCCTCTGTCCCCCCAGGTTTCCGTGAACCCGGCCTATCAGGCCATGGAACTGGAGTATGTCCTCAAGAAGGTAGGCCCCATACCTGGGGGAGGGACCAGCCCAAGAGTGGTGAGGGAGGACATGTGTGGGTGGGTGGCACAGAGTGTCCCTCTGGGCTGCCTGTGGTTGGAAGGAGGCCTGGATTTCAGAGAGAGAGAGAGAGGGAGTCTTTGGTCAGATACAAGGTTGGTGGGAGTGGGGCTGGCACGTATGTCAGGGTGGGGTGTGTGTGCGCCCTGGTACCTGATGCACACATGTCCCAGAGTGGCGTGTGTGTGTCTTGGCGTTGGTGCCTCTGGGCATTTGCCTTGGTGTGGGGTCCATGTGGCTGTGCCACAGGCTGGTGCAGTTGTGCGTTAGGGCAGTGGTGCATATGTATACGAGTACGCAGCTGATCAGTGAGGGTTCTGCCAAGCTCCGGTCTGGGGCTTCCTGCTGACCTGTGGTGCAACTCCCCTCCCCGAGGTGGGCTGCAAAGCCCTGGTGTTCCCCAAGCAATTCAAGACCCAGCAATACTACAACATCCTGAAGCAGATCTGCCCAGAGCTGGAGAAGGCCCAGCCAGGAGCTTTGAAGAGTCAGAGGTGGGTGTGTCCCAGGCCAGGGGTGCATCGGCCAGCACCCCTGACCCCCACACCCCCTACCCAACCTAGGAGTGGGGCTGGCATCTCCCAGTGTCCTCCCTCAGCTCCTGCCTCCCGCCGCCGTCCCTCACCCGCAGGCTCCCAGATCTGACCACAGTCATCTCGGTGGACGCCCCTTTGCCGGGGACCCTGCTCCTGGATGACGTGGTGGCGGCCGGCAGCACACAGCAGCATCTGGCCCAGCTCCGGCACACCCAGCAGTTCCTGTCCTGCCACGATCCCGTCAACATCCAGTTCACCTCGGTAGGGCTGAGGGCCCCAGCCCAGGCTGTCCCATGCTCCCTGTCCCTGTGTGACCCATTCCTGGGGCTGGGGGGCGGCAGAGGTCAGGAGGGCAGGTGCCCTCTCCCGAGACCAGCCTCCCACTGTCCTCTCTGCCAACGGGGTCCTTGTCACACCTCCCTCCCCGCCCTCCCATTCCCAGGGGCAGCTTCCCTAAGCTACCAGGGTCACAGCTCGTGGAAGCTGTCCCTCACTGAGCCGAGGGGAACTGGAGGGCATGTGACCCAGCCACCCCCGTGGGAGTGGAGTGGCCTTTTGTGTCTCCACTAAATGAACAAATGGACGTGGGCAGCAGTTCCAGTCCCCTGGCTCCCAATCCAGGCCCTTCTGGGCAGTGGGCAGGGTGGGAAGGGGTGTGGAGAAGGCAGCAAGCCGTCGCCTGCTTGTCTTGTCAGGGGACCACAGGCAGCCCCAAGGGGGCCACCCTCTCCCACTACAACATCGTCAACAACTCCAACATGATCGGCGAGCGCCTGAGGATGCCTGTGAAGGTGAGCTGGGCAGGGGCAGGGAGCTGGCCCGGCCCCCCTGCTGGCCAGAGGAACTGGCTTCTGCGGCTTCCAGCTCCACGCTACACCCAGTCTCCTGTCTCCAACTCCAGATGCCGGCAGAGAAGCGGGTGGTCCTGCCCAGCCCCTTGTACCACTGCCTGGGCTCCGTGGGAGGCACCATGGTGTGCATGATGCATGGTGCCACCCTCCTCCTGTCTTCCCCGAGCTTCGATGGCAAGAAGGCGCTGGAGGCCATCAGCAGAGAGAAGTGGGCATTGGTGGACAGGCCACCTGTGGGCTGCTGGGACCCTTCTAGTCCTCCCTCCTGGCCCTTAGCCCTTGCTCCCTCCAGACAGGAGACCTGGGGACCAGGGTAGTGGGGGACCCCAGAAGAGGACCAGCTCCCGCCTCAAGACCTTCTCCCATGGGTTCCCCCACAGCTTTGGCCTTGGCCTTTGCTGCAGGTTCATGGCAGGGTGGGGCAGAAGAGGGAGTTCCCTTCCGCTTCCCAGCCCAATTTTGAGATACCCCCTCCCCCCTTATACAGAGGCTCCTACCTGTATGGCACCCCCACAATGTTTGTGGACATTCTCAACCAGCCAGACTTCTCCACTTATGACATCTCGACCGTTTCTGGAGGTGGGGTGGGGCCTAGGGCAGCCAGGTGTGGGGAGGGGGCTGCCTCCCCCACAGGACTGGGCCTGGGTGAGCGAGATGTGTGCCCAGTCTTTGACTGAGGGGGCATTGATGGGGACTGTAGGAATGTGGGTGGGAGGGAGGCAAAGCCCCAGTGTCCCCGGACTCCAGTCCCAGGCCAGCTGATAGGCATAGGAAGGAACTTGGGGTTGGGGGTGGAGAGGGAGCAGGGGGCCAGAAGGGACTATTCTTCCCTCCAATGAGGTTCAGGGGTCCAGTGGGCCTGGAGGACTGGGGGGCTGTGTCAGCCCTCTCTCTGATTCAGGTGTGATCGCTGGGTCCCCCGCACCCCCGGAGCTGATCCGAGCCATCATCAAGAAGATGGATATGAAGGAGCTGGTGGTGAGTGGTGGCCGGGGCTGGGGCAGGGGCAGGGGCTGGGGCAGGGGCAGGGGCAGGGCCTGGGGCTGGGGCTGGGGCTGGGGCTGGGGCAGGGGCTGGGCCTGGGTTAGACTGACAGGCCTGGGGATGAGCCCAGGCCAGGTCTTCAGGGGAGAGTGCCTGGGCCAGCCCTCCTTCTAGAATGCAGGTGCCAGGAGCCAGCCTGGTGCCTGGCGAGTCATGGAGATGGGTGACAGGGGAATAGATGTTACACAGACATACATTTATATTTATAGAAATCTGGGGGCGAGTGCAGCGGGGGTGACGTGCAGCAAAGCACGGGTGTCCCGCTAGGCCGTCCTGGCAGGTGGGGGCTGGCAGAGTTGGGACATGGGCTTAAGACCCTTTCTGGGAAGCAAGGGGTGGGCCAAGGATCTGGCATTTGTTTCCAGATGGCTGGGGAAGAGGATGATTCTGGAGGGGTGGCCATCCTGATGATCACCCCGTTGTGTTTCTGATGGACTCAGGGCTGTCGGCAACAGATTGTCTGAGAGGAGCCCTGGCGGGACAGCCAGGCACCATGGCGGCACTGTGTCCTTCCCCGGACACCGTCAGGTGGGGCTGAGTTGGTAGTGAAGTGCCCGAGGCCCCCTGCCAGGACGTGTCTAGGTGTGGGCAGCTCTGTGCATGCGCAGGGGCTGTGGGGGGAGGCAGGAAGGTCAGTAGTCTCTCCGGCAGAAGGCAGAAGCCAGTCACCAGGACCGGCTGGGTCAGGACCTGCAGTGAGGCAAGGACCAGTATGAGGACTCCAACAACCTAGGTGATGCTTGCAGGCAACGGTGGGAGTCCTGGGCGGTCTCCTTTCCTCCCTTAGACGGAGGCCCCAGCCCTCCTGTCCTCTCCCTGAAAGAGTGGAGGTCTGCCTGCCCCTCCCAGGGAGGGCGTATTCTGGAGGACAGCAGCTCACTTGTTGGAAGCTCCAGAGAAGGGAGTGGGAGACCTGCCCACATGGCCCCCACCTGTTTAATGGCGGCCGGCTTTCTTGGACCTCTTGGTGGGGAACTTGCAGCTGCGGAAGGCGTCCGTGGCACGGATGTGCTGGCCCTTGAACTTGGCGGGCGAGGAGCAGGTGGCATCAGGGCGAGAAGCCTTGGCTTCCAGCCACCTGGAGAGACAGAGAATTATTGGGGCTGGGGAAGAGATGTGGGAGTACAAGCTATGGCGCCAGGATGGACTTTACGTATGGGGAAACCTCACTTTACATATGGGGAAACCGAGGCTTCCGGGTCTCGTGCCTCTTGGAGAGCAGGTTTAGGGCATGAGGGGGTCCCCCGGGAGTGACAAGGGGGTGTTCTCACCGACGGAGGCCCTGGAGCTGGCAGGTGCACTTCCAGGGGTTGTTGGTGAGGGTGAGTGTCTCCAGGTTGTCGAAGGGGAAGTTGGAGGGCAGCTGGTTCAGGCGATTGTTCTCCAGGTGGGCGTGTTTCAGTGTGGTCACTCCCAGGAAGGCACCATCCGAGAACTGGGGAGGGAGGTGGGCAGCAGTGAGCACCGCAGTCCCAGTGTCCTGTCTCTCCCAGCTGGGATTCCCACAGGCGCAGGGTCCTTCCCTGGACAGGACCAATGGCACCCTGGGGAGTTCCATGGTTTTCTTTTATAAGGAGGTTTTTGTTGTTGTTAAGATTTATTTATTTGAAAGTGACAGAGAGAGGGAGAGGGAGAGAGAGAGTATCTTCCATCCACTGGTTCATGTCCAATGCCTACAACAGCTAGGGCTGAGCCAAGAGGAAGCCAGGAGCCAGGAACTCCATCCAGATCTCCCACATGAGTGGCAGAGACCCAAGTGCTTGGACCATTTCCAGGTGCATTAGCAGGGAGCTGGATTGGGAGCCGAGTAGCCAGGACTCAAACTGGCACCCTGGTATGAGATGCGGACATCCCAAGCAGTGGCTTACCCTGCTGCTCCACGACACCTGCCCTGGAACTCCACACTTTTCAAAGCAGTGTGACCAGGTTGTCCCAGATGAGCTCATCTGCACAACCCCTTTTCAGATAGGTGCTGTTATTTCCAATATGCAGATGGGAAAATGGAAAAAAAGAGCTCAGTCCTTTGCCCAGGGTCACCCTAGGGAATAAACAGTAGCCACAAAACCACACCCCACCCCTCTCGCCCTGGCACTGCACTCCCTGCACAAACACTGGACCTGGGGAGGCAGCCAGAGTCAGCCCCGCCAGCCCAAGCTGGCACACGGTGAACCTGGTCAGTGTTTGGTGGGTGGGCAGGAGGCCCAGGCTCCCCACAGCCCTAGGGTCCCAGGACTTCCCCCAGCTCTGTCCTCACTGTGCCCTCACTGCCTGCCAGACACTATTTGTAGAGCCACCTTGGTGGAGACTTTGGCCAAGCTGGATGGCTCCGGAGGAAATATTCTATTGGTGCCCACATCTTGGCCCAGGCGCCACGGTTCCCGCCTGGCCTGCCCTGCCCCAAATCAGCTACTATGCTGCCCACTCTGGCACTGGGGTGGGGGGTGGAGGGGAAGAGGGGTTGGGCACAGAGGGCTCGGACTTCATGTAGGGGAGGGGCCAGGCTGAAGAGGCCAGGCTTGGGTAGGCCTCTAGCAGACACGGGCTGGCTGTTGCCCAGGTTGGAGTCCCTTCTCTGTGCCCGTGCCACCTCCTGCTGCCCAGGTTGGGCATGACATTCGCTAGGAACCAGACTGTCCTCTACCTTGTCCTGGCCCCCACCCAAACTTCCTGGCTGAAGCCCTTGTCCTATGGTGATTTTCCAGTCTCACAGAAAGGATTCTGCTCTAACCCAAGGTCTCTGCACCTGGCCAGACTGGGCACCCGGCTGGGAAGAGGGACTGAGAATGTACCTGGGGAGGGCACAGGGCAGCCGACAGCCCTTCTCCTAGTGGGGACACCCTGGGGTCTTACAGAAAGGCTTGACAGTGGTGTTCAGGTCTTTGCCCCTTCATGGAGTCCATGGGCCCCGTGGGTGCCCGCAGCCTGGGTCAGCCCCTGGTCCCCTTGCTGTGACTGCCCTCCTCAGCTTAATCAGACCTGAGCATGCAATGTCCTGTGTGTTGGTGGACAGGGCCTCGGTGGGCGTGGGGGAGGTCTTCCTCAGGTATTTGCACACGCACCCCCAGCTCCCCAGCCCCCCGGTCCACCTTAGCAGACACACCCAGCCCCCACCAGGAACACGGTCTCTTTGTGGGCTGGGTTTGCCCAGCTCCTCTGGAAGGCTCCTCAATAAACAAACCTTCCTTTATGGGATGGTAGGGTTCCTGGAGACAGGAAAACAGCGGGGTTGGCGGGGGTGCAGGGAGAGGCCCAACAGGAAGAGGCGACAGCTGCACATAGTGGGGCTTTGGGAGCACTGCCGATGTGTCCTAAGGGGCCATTGGTGGGGCCAGAGCAGCCCCTGCTCCTCTTATAAATGGGCTTTCTAGGAGGGCAGTGGCTGGGACAGGCAGTCAGACAGGGATTAGGGTGTGGATGGATCCAGAGGCGGGGACAGAGGGGCAGAATCCAGAGGAACAAGGAACTGGGGGGAGGTGACAGACAGGTCCGCACTGGGGATCTGGCTCCCTGGGCCTCCAGGAAGGGACGGAGCAGCAAGGACAGAGGCCACGGCCAGGAGCTCACCTTCTCCAGGTTGGTGTTGTCCAGCCACAGTGTCTCCAGGTACCTGCCGAAGGACTGGAAGGCGTGGTCGGGGATGCTCTTCAGGGGGTTGTGGGACAGCTTCAGTTCCTCCACCACCCGCAGCTTGCTCAGAGCAGCCGAGGGGTAGCTGGACAGCTGGTTTCTGTCCAGATAGAACTTGGCCAGGTTCTCCACGTCGTCCAGGGCGCCGGGCTGCAGAGAACTGAGTGCGTTTTCGGACAGGTAGAGCCAGCGCAGGTCCTTGGCGCCCTGGAAGGCGCCTGCGCGCAGCTCCCGGATCTTGTTGTTGTTGAGCTGCAAGATGAAGAGGTTGACCAGCGGGGAGAGCAGCCCCCGGGGCAGCTCCGTCACCTTGTTATGGTCCAGGTAGAGGTAGGTGAGCTCCGTCAGGTCGTCAAAGGCGCCGGCGCGCAGCACGCGGATGTCGTTGTGGGACAGGTACAGGTAGATGAGTTGCTTGAGGCCCCGGAAGGCCCCCGCCGCCACCTCCCGGATCTGGCAGTGCTGCAGGTGCAGCGACACGAGGTTCGGCATGGCCCGAAACGAGTTGGCGGCCAGCACCGGGAAATTGTTCCGCTGTAGGTTGAGCAGCTTGGTCTTCTCAGACACCTTGGGGATCTTCTGCAGCCCCACTTTGTCGCAGATGACATGCTGCAGGTCACCGTGGCAGTGGCAGTTCTGGGGACAGGCGGCCAGCGCCGGCAAGAGGCTGGCCAGGAGGCCGAGGCTGAGCAGGAGCATCGGGCGAGCCATGGCCAGGGCCGGGGGCAGCGGCGGCGGCGGCGACGGTGGGGCGCGGGCAGCTGCAAGTCCTCGGCGCTCGGGTCTCCCGCCCTACTTATACGGGCCGCCCTGACCACAGCCGGCGGCCGAGCCAGCTCCTACGTGGAGCATCGAGGCCACCGGGCTTAACTCCCTCGTGCCCAGAGATGCAACGGGGTCCTCGACGGGGGTGGGTCTTCCCCCTCCCCGCAGCTGGCGACCTGCACTGGGGGGCCGGGGCTGCACTCCCAGCCCCGGTCCCTTGCTCCCTGCTCTCAGATGCGACGCTGCTTCTCTCCTTGCCTCCTTTCCCGGGCTTTCCTGGGGAGTGTATGTGTGTGTGTGTGTGTTGGGGGGGCGGTGATGGGTGTGTCCAGTGCCCCGAGTTTACACCGGAGGGAGGGAGGTGCTCCCTGAACTTGTTTGTTTGCTCAAGGTCGAGCCTCCTCGCCATCCCATTCCTCCCACCCCATACGCTCTGGGCCGCGAGCCCTGGAGCTGGGGAGGGAGGAAGCGGGGCCGGACACCGGACGTGCGTCTCGCCGCGGTCGGCCAGCCCGCGGCGCTTTAATGGGGCGCTTGTGCGGCGCCGGCGGAGCGTGCGAGCCACGCTGGCGTGCGGCTCCCCCTCCTGGACGCCCAGCCCGCAGCCGCCGCGCGGGATGTAGCTCCCGCCTTACCCCTAAACCCACTCACCCACCAGGGGTTTGCCTCTCTGGGCCCTGCACCTCCACCCCTTTTCCCCACTGCTGGAGGTCAAACAAAAAATGAAAACCGGGAGGGGGTGATCCCTGGGCTAGAGACCACAGGCCAGTGAACAAGCAGTCTTCCAGTCCTCTACTTCAGTTCCCCTAAAATATCCCCAGCCCCTCATCCGCAGCACCCCACCCCCGTGGTCAGGGCCGGCCCCCTGAAGGGTCTCAGGGTGGGGTGGAGTGGCGCCACCACCCAAGTGTCCTTGGCAGGGGCCACACACGGGGCGGTGGCCCCAGGACTGTGAGGACGATGAGGGGGGTCAGGTCTGGCTACAGGGGGACCATCGCTGGTCAGCGCAGGCGGCCAGCCGCCGGATTCTGCGGGCTGTTCCGCGCCAGCCGGCCAGGCCCCTGGGTGCCCACTTGCAGTCACCGTGTCCGGATTCCAGTGGAAACCCAGGCTGCCGGCGGGAAGGAATGGCTGTGCTGGGGGTGGGGCTGGGAAGCAGAACCAAGGTTGAACCAGACTGGACCCATGTGGGAGCCATCAGCTGACTCAGGCAATGGGGACTTGGGGCTGGGCCAAGAGCCTGAAGGGGACTTGGAATACAGGACAGCTGGCCCTGGGCCCCTTGGCCAGCCCTCACTTGTGGGGGCCTGATCTCCAGGCCCTGCCCTTCTCCCAAACCCTTTTCCCTCCATGCCTCTAAAGGGGGTGCAGGGAGGGTGTCCTTCTTGGCCTAGAACATTCCCTTCTGGGATTGTGGCTCCTCCAAGGCTGGCTTCTGGTTTTTCTGTTGTTCAGGATGTTCTAACCACTAAACAGTGTGTGTCTGTGGCAGGGAGTGCGGTGGGGGTGGGGGTGGGGGGAGGGTGCTACTGTCCTTTTAAATCCCTGCTGTCTTCTTATTTTGCTGGAAATAGATGAACAGGAACCTCTCGGGAGCTTGAGGTGCCCACCCAAAGGCCCGGGGCACTTGTCTGGGTTTTGGGGTGGGGGCGGGGTGGTGTCTGTGTGGCTCAGCCAAGGCAGGCTGGCTTTCTCATCAAGTCTACCAGGACTTCAGCTTGGAAGGAAGACGCAGGTGGAGCTCAGGCAGCCTGGAGATGGGGGGAGATTTCTGGGGCACTGGTGATGCCGGGAGTCACGGGCATACACGTGTAGGAACAGGACAGAGCGGGCCCTGGGCAGGAGACAGCGGTTCCCCTGCTCGCGATTACGGTTTGGGTTCGGATCTGGGGTCCCTGCAGAGACTAGCACCTCTGCCTCCTGACCCCTGACCCCAGGTCCCTAGGATGCGTCTGTTCCCACCAGTCCTCTTGCACGGACTCCCCCACCGGGGGTGGCTCGCTGCTTCCCTCGGCAGCCACTGAGCTCCCCCCAACACCTCTGGACCCTCCAGGTTGTTTACGGAACCACAGAGAACAGTCCTGTGACCTTCATGAACTTCCCAGAGGACACTCTGGAGCAGAAGGCAGAGAGTGTGGGCAGAGTCATGCCTCACACAGAGGTGAGCCTCTCACCAACACGCACGCACACACTCACACACACACTCACACATACAAGCACACATAAATATACACATACACACATATCCACCCCCATACATACAAGTACACATATACACATATGTACACACATATCCACTTCTCACCAAGACACACACATATACATACAAGTACACACACATAAATATACATGTATACACATGTGCATATACACACAAACACAAATACATGCACACACATACACATATACACACATACTCATACACACATAAATATGCATACACACATATCTACCTCTCACCAAGACATACACACATACACATAGTGTGTGCATACATACATAAATATACATATATACACACATGCATATGCACACAAATACAAATACATACATACATACACATAAGCACTCTACACCTACATACATAGACCTCTCACCAAGACACACACACACACTCCTACATATACACATCTACACATACTCACATAAAATACACACACATGCATATACACACAAACACATGCACACACATGTACAGATATTCATACACACATAAATATACGTACAGGTATATTTACGTGTATATATGCGTACAGGATACACACATATCCACCTCTCACCAAGACATAGACACACACACATATACACACACATGCAGACACATATACACAGACCTCTCACCAAGACACATACACACTCCTACATGCACACACATATACACATGTACACACCTAACTGTACACATATACACATGCATATAAAGACATACACACAAATACATGCACACACATACACATATACACGTATATATGCACATATGCACACACATAAATATACATATATACACACATATCTACCTCTCACCAAGACATACACACACATCCACCTCTCACCAGGACACATACATGCACACGCACACGCACACACACACACACACACACACCTGGACGTTAATCGCTTTCACTTAGAGACCCAAGCAGCGCCTTCCCAGAGGCCAGGTTGCCTGGGCCTGGCTGGGGGTTGCAGCTGAAAGGGGCAGAGCCGAGCCGCCGCCAGCTGCCCTGCTCCGCAGCCTCCCTTCCTGTCTGAGGTGTGTTTTTGCCAAGCCCACTGTCTGTTTCAGGGCAGCCAGGGCAGCCTGAGAGAGAAGCCAGAGCACGGAGATTTTTCCTACACAGCTTTTTCTTCCCAGGCCTCACCGCCTTGCCTCGGCGTAAACAGCTTCCCAAGCAGGCTGTGCCCTGCGTCTCCAAGGCTGCCCCAGAGCACAGCTCAAGCCCAGATCCCCGGCCATGCTTTCTCCCTCCCTCTTACACCGCCTGCCCGTGTCCCCAGCCCCTGTGCCCTCGCCCCCGTGGCGGCTGTCTCCCTGCTGTGCCTCTCCCCTGCCCTCTGCTGGAGCATCCTGTGTGGAGTGGGGGTGCAGGGACGTGAGCCCCTCCTGCGCCCGGCAGCCTCACCGCCACCCTCGTTGGGATGCCCACGTACAAGGTCAACAGGGACAGGCACGATTCTCCCATTTCACAGATGCAGACGCTGAGGCACGCAGAGGCTCAGCTTTCCTTGGCGTGGTGGCCGTGGCTTGTTCTCACTACTTGGCTTTCGTTCTGCCTCTCCCGTTCACACGGCACTGCCATGCCCCCGCTTTGGCTTCTTTCTTTGCCGCTTCCTGGGAAGTATGAGGCTCCTGCCCTCCCTTCTGTAATCCCCCAGCCAGCCTGGCCCTCCGCAGGCCGCTCTTCCCTGCCCGCTGTTTCCTAGGCACCCCTTAGCCTGGGCCTCAGCTGCTCTCTCGTGCCCCGCCAAGGTCTCTGGCTCCACTCTGGCCTTCATCTCCCTTCCCTGCACGAAGACGGGCAGAGACGGGGGGCTCCTCACTGGCGCAGGGAGGGGAAGGCAAAGCTGCCCCGGTTGGAGACTGCCATCTGGAGCCCCAGCCTGAAGCTGACGTGTCACAGGCCCAGATCCTGAACACGGAGACGGGGAAGCTGGCCAAGCTGAACACGCCCGGGGAGCTGTGCATCCGAGGGTACTGCGTCATGCAGGGCTACTGGGACGAGCCTCAGAAGACCTTGGAAGCAGTCAGTCAGGACAAGTGGTATCGGACAGGGTGAGAAGGCAGGGTGGCCGGGGGCGCTGGCTACTGAGGGGGAGGCTGGGGGGCTCCGAGGCTGAACAGGAAACGTTAAAGAAGCCTGGGGGTGGGGGGCTGTCCAGAGGGCCCCTCCTATCCTGGAGCCTTAATTTCCAAAACAGGTACCGTGAGGGTGGGGTGGGGGGAAATCATCCGTAGCACAGAGGCAGGCGACTTGCACAGTGCCCCACGCCAGCATCCGTACGCACAATCGGAGCCAAGACTGGGTCGCTGGTCGGCTAGCCAAAGCCATGTCTTGTTCTGTACCTCCTGTGTGCTGGCACTGCCGTAGACACCGGGGTCCCCATGGGAGCAAGAGTGCTACTTTCACTTCTGCCCTGTCGGCTGGCGGAAGACAGGTCATTTCACACACGGATAACCACAAGGACAGTTACCGGGTCACGGGGGTCAGGGCAGCCGTGGGGAGAGGTAGGCTCTGCTTGGCCTGGGTGGTCAGAGCAGGCTTCTGGAAGTATTGCAGTGAGACGTGACAAGCGGCTGTTTATATGTGCCCGAAGGAGGCAGGGAGGTCGAGTCCTGGTTTGTTTACTTTCCTCTGCCCCCCTCCCCGCCCCGCTCCGAGAAGGTAAATCCTAGGAAGTGTGTCTCCTTCCTGCTGTGTCCCCCACAGTCTGGAACGGTGGAAGACCCACAGTAGGTGACCCATCAATGTTTGATGGGTGAGTGAAGCAGCTGGCCCCGGCTTTCCTTACAGAGACATCGCCTCCATGGACGAGCAGGGCTTCTGCAGGATCGTGGGCCGCTCCAAGGACATGATCATCCGTGGCGGGGAGAACATCTACCCCGCCGAGCTTGAGGACTTCTTCCACACCCACCCGCAGGTGCAGGAAGTGCAGGTGAGTCCCCCAGCCGGCCCAGGCGAGCCCCCTCCCTCCCAGCAGGAGTCGCGGTGTCCCACACCTGTGTCTGGCCCTGGCAGGTGGTAGGCGTGAAGGACCACCGCATGGGGGAGGAGATCTGTGCCTGCATTCGGCTCAAGAGTGGGCAGACCGTCACAGAGGAGGAGATCAAAGCTTTCTGCAAAGGGAAGGTGGGAGCCTTAGCCGCGCCTCTGCACAGCCAGGGCTGGGGTGGGGGGTGGGGGGCGCGGAGGTGCGCTGCCCCGTGAACTTGGCTCCATGGCCAACTGAGCCCCCAGCCTGATGTCCTCGCCTTGCCTCACACGTCCCCTCCCTCTGGTCTACAGATCTCCCACTTCAAGATCCCCCGCTACATCGTGTTCGTCAACGACTACCCGCTCACCATCTCCGGAAAGGTGTGTGTGTAGAGACGGAGGTGCCGGGTACGGAAGGCCAGGGGGGTCGCCTGTGCCTCCCGCAGCCATGAGCTGGAGAGCCGGGCAAGAGAGGCTGGCAGTAGGGTAACCGACCAGACACCTCGTCCTGGTGTGCCTCCGACTGCCCTGGCCTCTCTGGGACCCAGCGAGCCAGACGGGGGTCACCCTAGCTAGTAGAGGCCTGGAGCCTGCCTCACAAGCCTTTGTCTTTCCTCCAGATCCAGAAATTCAAACTCCGAGAGCAGATGGAAAGGCGGCTAAACCTGTGAATAAAGAGGGAGGAGGGGTCTTCCCAAGCCCTCCTCCTCCCCCTCCCTCCCCTCCCCCATCGCCCCTCCATGCCGCTTGTCTTTGTGACTTGAAATAAAGGACGTCTCTGTTTTCTTTGGCGGGTCCCTTGCTGTGTGCTGTGCTGTCGCTCTGGCTGTCTTGGCAGAAGCTGTGCACTGGAGAAAGGAAGAGGCCAGGGGCAGCTGGCACCGTCACACCTCTTCCCCGGCAAGGGGGTGCTGGTGCTTTGCTACCTACTAATCTCGCCCTCAGCTCACCCCTTTGAGATACCAACCCAGTGTTTTTGGTTTTTTTAGGCTTTAATTCTTTCTCACATTGTTCATCTGTCCAGCAAGAAGTATTCTTTTTCAGTAAGCGCTTCACTGAGCTATAATTCATCCAGTCCACCCATTTAAAGTGCACAGTTCAATGGACTTGAGTATGTTCATAGATGTGTGTAACCAGCACCAAAGTCAATTAAAAAGTATTTTTAGATTTATTTGAGAGGCAGAGAGAGAGAAATAGAACTCTCGTCCACTGGTCCACGCCAACTGAAGCTAGCAGGCAGGAATTCAACCCTGGTCTCCAATGTGTGTGGCAAGAAACCAACTACTTGAACCACTACCTGGTGCCTCCCAAGCAGGACCCAGAGCCAGACCCAGTAAGCAAATCCAAGCACTCCAATATGGAACCAGGCACCATTTTTCTTTCTTTTAAGATTCATTTATTTATTTGAAAGGCAGAGTTAGAGAGAGAGAAGAGGAGAGAGAGAGATCTCCCATCTGCTACATCACGCCCCAGGTGGCTGCAGTGGGTTGGGGCTGGGGCTGGGGCTTGGGGCCAGGCCAGAGCCAGGAGCCAGGAAATTCCCTCAAGTCTTCTACATGTGCGTCAGGGGCCCAAGCACACATGTTGCCCTCCCAGGCGCATTAGCAAGGAGCTAGATTGGAAGTGGAACAGAAGCAGCACCCATGTGGGACGCCAAACACCTGTCCCAAAGTCACTTTTAAACACCCCCACACTCTACCCATCATCCCTCCATTTCCTGTCCTCCCCTCCCAACCTAATTTTTATTTGTTTGCTTTTAATTAACCTGGGGCTTCCCTGATGGGCAGGGCCAGGTGAAACAGGCTGTCACTTGACCCAAGAAATAAAACCCAGCTGGGTTCCAGAAGACACATAGGTCCCCAGTTCCCGGAGACGGAAACTTTCCTCCTGCCTGCAACGTCGTGCCCCCGCCTCCTCTTTAGCTGTAAGAAATGAACATGTGGATCGGGGCGCCGGATTCTGTCCCAGTTGCTCCTCTTCCAGGCCAGCTCTCTTCTGTGGCCAGGGAGTGCAGTGGAGGATGGCCCAAGTACTTGGGCCCTGCACCCCATGGGAGACCAGGATAAGTACCTGGCTCCTGCCATCGGATCAGCGCGGTGCGCCAGCCGCAGCATGCTGGCCATTGGAGGGTGAACCAACGGAAAAGGAAGACCTTTCTCTCTGTCTCTTTCTCTCACTGTCCACTCTGCCTATAAAAAAAAAAAAATGAACATGTGGAGCATCCTCTAGGCGGGCCCACTTCACAAATGATGACACCGAAACTCAGGAGGGTCCGGGGTTTGCCCAGGTCACACGACTAGGATGAGAATCCTGCCGCCCATATTACAATGCTGGTTCCCGTCCCAGCTACTCTGATGCCTGTCCAGCTTCCTACTAATGCTCCTGGGAAGGCAGCGCAGGGTGGCTCAAGTACTTGAGTTCCTGCCACCCATGGGGGAGAATCAGGTGGAGCTGCTGGCTCCTGGCTTCAGCCTGGCTCAGCCCTGGCAATTGCGGCCATTTGGGGAGAGAAGCCAATAATGGAAGCTCTCTCTCTGCTTTTCAAATAAAGAAACCTTTTTTAAAAAGTGAAGTGGGTTTCTTACAGAGAAGCAGCAAGGATTTCAAGCTTGTCCCCGAGGCCCAGGAAAGCTGCCTGGGACAGAGGGAGTGTCACCTGTGCACACGCAGCAGCTGAGGGACCCTAGAAATCAGCCTATCCTGATTCATACCGTGGCTTGTGTGACATGTTGGGCTAAGGCATTAAGGGACATCCTGTTTCTAAGAGAGACTGGAACGAAGCCCAGAGTGTTCGGGCCAGGCCCTCCTTATCTGGAGTGAGCTCTACAAGCTACAAAAGGGGTGGAGACCTGGCATAGCCCAAGGCCAACCGGGAGAACAGGTGTCACACTCTCTGTTGTGATTGTAGGTTCATAATCTTTCCACTTCACTGGATACTCCCCCAGGTGCCTGCACCCTGTGTCCCCTGCAGACACCATCTTTAAACATTCAGTTCATTTATTGAACTGAAAGGCAGAGAGAGACAGCTAGATCTTCCAACCGCTGGTTCACTCCCCAAATGCCTGCAACCAGCCGTGGCTGGGCCAGACTGAAGCCAGGGGCTTGGAATTCAATCCTGGTCTTCTAACCAGTGGCCCGCTGCCCCCCAGGGTGTGCACCAGCAGGAAGCTGGAGCTGGGATTCAAACTCAGGAACCCAGGCGTCCCAATCTGCACCAAATGCCCACCCCCAGCATGTCCAGCCCCAGGTGCCCAGGGTGACCCCCCCTCCCCCCCAGGAGATGGAACACGACTCTCCTGGCCAAGTCGGTTCTCTCTGGCACTGTCCCTCCCGCAGGTCTCCCAAGGGTCAGTCCTCCCATTACTGAATAGTAAATTACTGTGTTCCCCGTCCTGGTTTGTTCCCTCCTGTCGTACAGCGACCTGGTCTTCAGCACGTAGTTGTCCCCAGCGCCCAGCTCTGAGCCAGGCACATAAAATGTGAAGGAACTGACTGAACGAGCTAAGAGCGCCTGGATGGGTCGGGGAACTCGCCCCAGCACGGGAAGCCAGACAGGCCAGAGGCCCGCCCCGCGACCTTGGCAGAGGTCAAGCCGGCGGCAGCGGCGGCGGCCAGGGCACCCATGTCCAGCAGGTGGCGCCGCAGCCCCGGGACCCAGGCCGTCGGCGCGATGGGGCGCATGCGGTCCGCGGTCATGCAGCCCGGCTTCCTTCCTCCCGGGCAGCCCGCCCGCCTCTGCGCACCCTGCGTCTCTGCACGGGTCCCTGCCCCACGCCGCGCTGGGAGGCATGGCGCTGCCTGGCGCCCGGGCGCGCGGCTGGGCGGCGGCAGCAGCGAGAGCAGCCCAGAGGCGCCAGCGCGTGGACGGCGCGAGAGGTTCCCCGCGTCCTGAGCCGGCGAGCGCGCGCGCGGCGCTTTACGTGCACGTGAGTGCGGGGGCGGGGCTGGCGGGGCCCCGCGGCGGGCAGGAGCACGGGAGGCGGCTCCGCGCGAGACAAACGCACCTGCTGTGTTCCCCGGCCGGCCAGCAAGGTCGGGGGTGGCACCTGGAGCCCCGGCAGGGCCGCGTCTCGGTCCGGAGACTTTTACGTCTGTGATAACGCGGCAGCCGGGTCACGCTGCCGAAATGCCTTCCTTCCCGAGCCTTGGTGTTCTTGCGTCCAGGTGGGCGCACCCCCTCGCGTGCCGCCCGCCCGGGGAGAGCTGTGTGGGTTCGCTGGCCGAGCCCCTGCGGACGGACCGCCGACAGGGGTGGGAATACGCGGTGGACTCCCCGCACTCACACGCCGCCCCTCACTCACCCTGCCCGCAGTGGCCGTACTGCGAGAAGCGCTGCAGTTACTGCAACTTCAACAAGTACCTCCCCGGCGGCGTGGAGGAGGTGGCCGTGCGCAGGTGCCTGGAGACCGAGGCGCGGACGCTGCTGCGCTTCAGCGGGGTGCGGCGGTGGGTACCGGAACCCCGGGTGACTTGGGTGAGGGGGCAGGCGTCCCAGAGAGCACCCCAACTCTCATGAACCCCAACCTCGTCCTGCAGTGTGGAGTCCGTGTTCTTCGGTGGAGGAACCCCCAGTCTGGCCAGTCCCCACACGGTGGCAGCCGTCCTGGAGGCGGTGGCACAGGCTACCTACCTGCCTGTGGATTCGGAAGTCACCTTAGAAGCTAATCCCACTTCGGCCGCCAGCTCCAGGCTGGCAGCCTTCGGGGCAGCGGGGGTCAACAGGTTGTCCATCGGCCTCCAGGTAACCCGCGTCACCCTCTCGTTCCAGTGCAGTCGGACCTGCCCTGCAGTCCTCTCTCTTGGCATCCACTCATTGGGCAAACATGGAGCTCCTTCTGGGTGCCAGTGGGCCCTGGGGGGACGCTTTTGCACCTGCGGAGTTGCGGGCAGCCATCCTGGTCCTTTGGCCCCGTGGCCGGGCGTCAGACAGGCCTGTGTGTATGCCAGGCACCCACCTCAGTGCTTGCCCGTGGTAGGTGCTACAGGATTAGAGACGAGGGGGAGGCAGGCGTTGTAGTCCAGGGAAGGCTCCGCAAAAGGCTTTCAGAATACAGTCTGCAGGGCAGCTCATTCTGCTGGCATCACGGAAGCCTTTCCCGAGGAGGTGACGTTCGGATGAGGAGGAGGAGCTCACTAGCAGAGAGGATGTGGGAGAGAGAGATCACCTTGCTGGCCGGCGCCGCGGCTCACTAGGCTAAACCTCCGCCTGCGGCACCGGCACACCAGGTTCTAGTCCCAGTCGGGGCGCCGGATTCTGTCCCGGTTGCCCCTCTTCCAGGCCAGCTCTCTGCTGTGGCCCAGGAGTGCAGTGGAGGATGGCCCAAGTGCTTGGGCCCTGCACCCTATGGGAGACCAGGAGAAGTGCCTGGCTCCTGGCTTCGGATCAGCATGGTTCGCTGGCTGCAGTGCAGCGGCCATTGGAGGGTGAACCAACGGCAAAGGAAGACCTTTCTCTCTCTCTCTCTCTCTCTCTCTCTCTGTCCACTCTGGCTGTCAAAAAAAAAAAAAAATCACCTTGCTTTGGGGGGAGCTGAGAGTCATTCCCTGTGACTGGAGAAGCCAGAGTCGGGGCTGAGACCCAGCTCCTGAACGCCCTGGAGTAGGGAGAACCCCTTTCCTCTCAGGGTGACCCCTTGTATTTCCCTATCCAGTATGCCCCCCCCTTTCCAATACCCAAGCCAAAGTGTTCTTGCCCAAAAGGTGTACGGCTGATAGCCGGCACATCCGGCTGCCACTCTTCACAAAGTCAGCATCACGAAAGACAAGGAAGGGCTGGGACTGCAGAGTGAGGGCGGAAGGCAGTGTGAGCGCTGGCTGGCCTGGGAGGCGGTGTTGCGGGGACACGGGGCTTCCTTTGAATGTGACTGCGTTAGGTCAGGGTGTTGTATCCGTGTGACATTTCCTGGTCCCTGTTGTCATTGGATCAGGGCCGTGTCAGGCAGTGTCCTTGTTCTTAGCAGGTGCACACGTCAGAATATCAGGGTTGAGGGCCACGATGGCTGTATCGGAGCTGTCTAGCACATGCCCGTGAGCCCTGAAAAGGTGCTCATTGAAAGTGAAGGTCATTTATTTACGTTTAAAGGTTTATTTCATTTATTCGAAAGAGAGAGAGGGGTTAGGGAGAGGAGAAAGAAAGAGACCTTCCCATCCACTGCTTCTCTCCCCAGATGGCCAGGGCGGGCCAGACCGAAGCCAGGAGCCTGGAACTCTACCCAGGTCTTCCACGTGGGTGATAGGGACCCGAGCATTTGGGCCATCTTCTGCTGATTTCCCAGGCACATTAGCAGGGAGCTGAAGCAGAAACAGGGCAGCCAGGACCCGAACCAGTGTTCTGTTAAGGATGCCAGCATCGCAAGGGGTGGCTTAGCATGCTGGGTTGTAATGCCGGCCCCCAGTTTGGTTTAAATTTAAATAGCCACACGTAGCCCTTACCTACCTGCAGTAAACCATGCCAATTGAGAACACCTTTGATCTGTAGCTTACTTTCAAGTGATTCAGGATGATAGTATAGATGCAAAGGAGATGTGGCCAAGTGCTGTGAACCTACATGCTTTCCTTTCAGCTTTTCTATAGGCTTGGATGATTTCAAACTAGAAAGGACAGCAAGAAAAGACTATTGGCCTTGGAGTTGGGCCGTCCCGAATTCTAGCTCTGACTTTGTGGTGGTATGGTTTTGGTTACGTAACATCTCCAAACCTCAGTTTTCCTATCTGTAAAATGGAGCCAATGATCAGCGGTTTTTAAGGATGAAATGAAACGTGGGCAGCCTATGGAGGCCCTTCAGTGGCTGGTAGCTCTTGGTGCTGGCTTGACGGCCACCCTCTCACCTTGTAGCTCCCTGCAGATCCCCTCGCAGCCCCCTTGGAGCCGGCCAGTTTGGTTACACCTGACCCTTTCTCCCTAGTCCCTGGACGACGCTGAGCTCCGGCTGCTGGGGCGGACACACTCAGCCAGTGATGCTCTGCGGACGCTGGCGGAGGCCCGCCGCCTCTTCCCTGGCCGCGTGTCCGTGGACCTCATGCTGGGGCTGCCTGCGCAGCAGGTGCGGCCGTGGCTGGGGCAGCTGCGGGAATTGCTACGGCGCTGTGACGACCATGTCTCCCTCTACCAGCTGTCCCTGGAGCGGGGTACCGCCCTCTTTGCCCAGGTGCAGCAGGGCGCCCTCCCTGCCCCTGACCCTGAGCTGGCAGCTGAGATGTACCAGGAGGGTCGGGCCGTGCTCCGGGATGCGGGCTTCCGCCAGTACGAGGTCTCCAACTTCGCTCGCAATGTGAGTCCTGGGGCTGGTGGCGGATGTGGGGAATGGGCAGGCAGAAGAAAGAAAGAGGTAGGGGTGGGCCCAAGGCCTCGTGGCCCTCTGCAGAGAAGGGTCCTGGCAGGGTGCTCAGACCTGAGGTGCTGGTGGGACTGTTTAACCAGGTGCACTTGTCTAAGCAGTAGTGGAGTCCTCCCTCTCCCCTCTGCACTGACTGTTCCCTCTCTGCCCACAGGGGGCGCTCAGTACCCATAATTGGACTTACTGGCAGTGCGGTCAGTACCTTGGCGTTGGGCCTGGTGAGTTCCCTGTGAGCCACAGAAGGGGTGACTCAGAGAGAAAGGTCGCGCTTGTGTGTGAGCCTGGCCACTCAGTCACCTGTCCAGGCCTCCGATTCCTCTCATGTTAAGTGTTCAGTGTATGTTTTAAGGGGCTTGACATCATGGTTCTCAATCAGAATCCCCTGGAGGGCTTATTAAAACCCAAACTATGGGGGCCAGAGTTGTGGCACAGGGGGTTAAGCCGCTGGCTGAGATGCCGGCGTCCCATATGAGCGCCGGTTCAAGACCCAGCTCTTCCACTGCTGATCCAGCTCCCTGCTGATGCACCTGGGAAAGCAGTGGAAAATGGTCCAAGTGCTTGGGTCCCTGCCGCCCTCCTGGGAGAGCTGGATAGAATCCTGGGCTCCTGGCTTTAGCCTAGCCTAACCCTAGCTGTTGTAACCATTCAGGGAGTGAACCAGCAGAGTGGAAGTGTTTCTCTCTTTCCCTCTTCTTTCCCTCTCTTTATTGATCTGCCTTTTAAATAAATAAATACACTGTGTGAAAAGAAAAGCAACCCAGACTGCTGGGCCCTGCCTCTGATTGGACAGGGCTGGAGCAAGACCCAAGCATTTGCGTTTCTAGATTGTTAGGTGCTGGTACTGCAGGCACTACACTTTGAGACCCTCGGCTTTAAATCCAGTAAGCACCGGTGTTGGCTGCTGGTGATATGGGCTGGTTGTTGATGTTGTCAGGGGCCCATGGACGATTCGTGCCCCAGGGCGCTGGAGGTCACACCCGGGAGGCCCGAATCCAGACGCTGGAGCCTGATGCCTGGATGAAGGAGGTGATGCAGTTCGGACACGGCACCCGGAAGCGCACCCCGCTGGGCGAGCTGGAGCTGTGAGCATCCAAGAGCACAGGCTCTTTGCCCCGGGTCCCCAGAACCACATGTGCCTTGTTACTTTCTGCCTCGCCCACCCCGCTGTGCCCCAGCCCAGGGCTTGAAGGCTGGGAGAGGCCTCAGACGTCTCCAAGGTTTCTCCTTGAATTTCCTTTCAGGCTGGAGGAAGTGTTGGCCATGGGGCTTCGCACGGACGTGGGGATCACCCACCAGGTAAGGGATGGGGTGCACCACAATGCCCCTTCCTCCCAGCTCTTGCAGAATCAGTTTCTCGATCTCTGTCCTGCCCCCTCCATACACACACCCCTCCCCTTCCTCTGGGATTGGCAGCTGGGGGCTGGGCCCTGGCTAGCCAAGGCCTGCTATGCAGAAGCAGTGGGCAGTGTGGTATGATGGTTAGAACCCTCGACTGGGGCTGCAGAGACCTGGGTTCTAGTCCCCACTCTAGTGCCACCCCTCTGAGCCTCTGCCCAGCTGTATGAGGGGGTTGGGGGTGGAGAAGGTCCAGGCTACATGCAGTCCATATTAGGCCCGCGGTGGCATTTGGCCTTCCAAGGCGACTGCAGGGAGGACTTGAAAGTCGATGCAGGCTCATTTTTAAGTTGGCACTTGTGTTTGGCCTGCAAAAGATGTTATGAAAGATCCAAATGGACCCTTGGCAGAAAAAAGGTTCCCCACCCCTGGGATAATGGCTTTTCAAATGTCTTTGGGCAGCGCTAAAACCTCAGGTAGGTGGATTGTGATCGATCTGACTCATCGCTGCCCTGGCTGAAGTCAAGGGCCTAAAGCTCTGGCGAGAGCTGGCCAAGCCCAGACTGGCAGAAGGGGGAGGGGCAGAGGGAGACCCGGCTTGGCCGCAAGGGGGCTTCAGCCTGCACGTGGAACGGGTAGGAAGGTGCTCGCTCCCCCGCTGGCCCACGGACCTGCTGTTGGTGTTCATGGGAGCCCCAGGCTGGAGCAGCCCCTCCCTCACCCCTGTACCTCGCCCAGCCACGTGGCCCAGAGCAGCCCGGCCAGCTCCACACTGCTGGCCCTCTTGCTTCCGCCAGCACTGGCAGCAGTTCGAGCCCCAGCTGACGTTGGGGGCTGTGTTTGGAGCGAGCGAGGAGGTGAAGGAGCTACAGGAGCAGGGCCTGTTGCTGTTGGATCACAGGTGCGCTGGGGGCGGATCTGCAGACCCCGGGTGGGGTGGGAGGTGTGGGGAAGACTGGTGAGAAGGGGCCTGGGGTGTCGGGCTTGGTCGGGTGCAGGGTCGGGCTGAACCTGGTAAGATGAAGCAGTTGCATCCGGGCCTCTTGGTTTTCCAGGGGTCTGCGGTGCTCTTGGGAGGGTCTGGCAGTGCTGGACTCTCTGCTGCTCACCCTCCTGCCTCAACTCCAAGAAGCCTGGCATCGGAGAGACTCCCGCGTGCCAGATGTTCCCGCATCCTAGGCCAGGCCAGGCGGGCCCTCAGGGCTTCTCCGCTACCAGGTGCTGTCTCCGTTCTGGGTACTAATTGCCTGGCCCTGGCCTCCCTGAGGGCTGTGGTGGACAGCGAGGTGATTTCTGAGCTGGGAGCTGGCATCCCGCATCCCACCAGCATCTGGGGACCCGCAGGCCAGCGTGTGGTCCGGGGCTGGGAATCGCCCTTCCCCCACAGCAACTGTGGACCTTTGCAGTACCAACGCGTGAATGGACTTTGGGATTCTTTCTGCAGGGAGTTAACAGCCGACCTCACTGCCGGGTCGTGGTGGGGGAGGGGGCTGCTGAGACAGCTGCAGAGTCCAGAAAACTTAAGTCCTGCTGGTTTTTTTTTTTTTTTTTTTTTTTTTTTTTTTTTGACAGGCAAAGTGGATAGTGAGAGAGAGAGACAGAGAGAAAGGTCTTCCTTTTTGCTGTTGGTTCACCCTCCAATGGCCGCCACGGCTGGTGCGCTGCTGCTGGCGCACCGCGCTGATCCGATGGCAGGAGCCAGGTGCTTCTCCTGGTCTCCCATGGGGTGCAGGGCCCAAGCACTTGGGCCATCCTCCACTGCACTCCCGGGTCACAGCAGAGAGCTGGCCTGGAAGAGGGGCAACCGGGACAGAATCCGGCGCCCCAACTGGGACTAGAACCCAGTGTGCCGGCGCCGCAAGGTGGAGGATTAGCTTATTAGCTGTGGCGCTGGCCCCCGCTGGGTCTTTTAAGCAGGATGGGATCTAAGGTAGGAGCGGGGTCATTACTAAACTGCTGGAGGCCGTTCACCCTGAGACGTCTTGCCTACACTCTGGGTGTATGTGGGCATTTGCTAATGATTAGATTTGGGGTAAGTCTTTTTAGCCTGATGACTTTGCAGTTCAGCCCCCAGGCTCATTTTCATCACTTGATTCACCGGAAAGGGGTTCGTGGTCTGTTGTACAGAGGCGTGTTTTCTTGCGAAGGGGTGCACGGTCTGTCTGTCTGTCGTACGGAGGCGTGTTTTCTCCGCGGTCAGGCAGATCATCCTCCATGGTCAGAGACTCTGGAGACCCCTTGAGCATCCTGTTCCCCCACAGTCATTTGCCCAGCGATTTTTAACATTCATCAGTGATCTTTGCCAAAATCAATTCACACACTGAGAGTTGCAAAAATGTTCATGTCTGACTCGCTCATGCCTTCCGTGTTTAACTGGCCTCCAATCCCTAAAAATAAATAAGTAAATAAAAAACTTCGCTTTTTTTTGGAGATGTTCTACCCCTGGAAATTGCGTGTGGGATGTGTGCATGAGAGAGAGAGAAAGGCGTTAGCTTTGCCGCGGACAGGCTCTGGGACAGGCTCTGGGGCGTTCGTACTGTATCATGTTGAAGGATACTAGCTCCTTTGCAATTGGAGGCCTGCTGAGCCTGACCTCCCACTGGGTCATTAAGGAGGGGCGGCCCCTCCTCTCTGGGGAGCACGTGCGTTTCCCTTGTGCCCGGTGGGTGTGAACATGAGTCCTTCTTTGACCCCATGTAACGTGGTAAGTGTGACTGCCTCTCCTGTATTCATAAAGTATTCAGCAGGCGCTAATCATGTGCCAGGCCCTGTGCCGGGCATAGGGAGGGGAATAAGACACACCCCAGCCCTCGAGGAGCTCAGCAGCACATCAGAGATGTGGCAAGTGATACCTTCCAGGGTTGCCAGCCAAGGTGTACAGGCAGGCTCCAGGGTGGGGCACGCTTGGTTCCGAGGGGCTGGGAGCAGGAAAGGAAAGGGGGGGTTCATTTTTCTTACCACCTCCTTGCCCCAGGTGCCCTGGGGAGCCCAGCGCAGGTTGCAGGGTGACATTTGCTCCCTGGGGAGCCTCTTCCTGAGCCTTCCCCTGATCTTGATATTCAAGAAGTGAGCGTGGGGCCAGAGCAGGTGCCATCAGATAACCTGCACCCACTCAGGTTTCTCCCAGCTGCCAGAGCTCGTGCCACCTGAGATGTCCGGGCCCTCCCTTCTGGAGGCCTGTGCGGAGGGGCTGACCGGGAGCCAGTCCTGGCTGGGGTGGCGTGAATCACCTGTGACTCTGCCTGGTCCCACCCACTGTCCGCAGAGGAGTCAGAATATCCAGGAGGGGGAGCCCAGGAGTTCTGTGCTCCCTAAGTGGCTCAGGTGGATTTGGGAACTTTCTTACTGTCACCTCCCATCTTCCATCCCCAGAGGCTGGGATCAGAGCACTGTGGAATGTGGCTTTGTGGACATGACAGGGGCGGTGGGGCTCCTCTCTCCACATCCTGGCTCTTCTGGCTTCATCCATCCAAGAGGTCTCATCTGTACTGGGGCCTGGTGGTTTTTTTTTTTTTTTAAAGAGGTAGAGAGAGATCTTTTTATTTTATTATTATTTTTTTGACAGAGTGGCAATGAGAGAGAGAGACAGAGAGAAAGGTCTTCCTTTGCCGTTGGTTCACCCTCCAATGGCCGCCACAGCCGGTGCGCTGCGGCCGGCGCACCGCGCTGATCCAATGGCAGGAGCCAGGTACTTATCCTAGTCTCCCATGGGGTACAGGGCCCAAGGACTTGGGCCATCCTCCACTGAACTCCCTGGCCACAGCAGAGAGCTGGCCTGGAAGAGGGGCAACCGGGACAGAATCTGGCGCCCCGACCAGGACTAGAAGCCGGTGTGCCGGCGCCGCAAGGCGGAGGATTAGTCTAGTGAGCCACGGTGCCGGCCGAGATATCTTCCATCTGCTGGTTCACTCTGCTCTGCGCATACTGGGCCAGACCGAAACCAGGAGCCAGGAGCTTCATCCAGGCACTTGGGCCATCTTCCACTGCTTTCCCAGGTGCATTAGCACGGAGCTGGATAGAAAGTGGAGCCACCAGGGGCCAGCACTGTGCTGTAGTAGGCTAAGCCTCCAGCTGCAGCGTCAATATTCTATATGGCCGCCAGTTCATCTCCCAACTGTACCTCTTCTGATCCAGCTCTCTGCTGATGGCCTGGGAGCAGTGGAAGATGGCCCAAGTGCTTGGTCCCCTGCACCTGCATGGGAGACCCGGAAGAAGCTGTTGGCTCCTGGCTTCAGATCTGCCTAGCTCCGGCCATTGTGGCCGTTTGCAGAGTGGACCAGTGAGTGGAAGACATTTCTCTCTGTCTCTCCCTCTCTCTGTCTGTAACTCTGCCTCTCAAGTAAGTAGCAGATGCGGTACAGCACTTCTGGACATCAGAACTTTCTGTTTGATCTAGAATTTTCTGTTCCATCATTATTTGACACTTTTGCTGGGTCCAGGCCAATTGGCCCACCTCCTAAATGAGGCAAAAGTCCTGACCTCTTTCTGGGACCTCTCTCTAGTTCTGGGTGCCCTGGACTCGGCCCTTGCTGCGAGGCTGTAGCGTTGAAGACCCGCACGGCCCGGGCCTCCTCTCCTTGAGACCATCTACTGCCAGGGAGAGCTGCATTTTCCTCCCACCACTCTCTGCCAAAGAACTTGAAGTCATAATAGGATGGGGTAGGCGACACAATCGTACAAAATATTTGCTACCCCTTGGGGTGGCCGCCTGGCACCCCGTGGGGGGATTCCATGCTCCTGCCTAAAGGGGCTAGGAGACTTCCCGGCCTGGGTTGTAGGAGCCAGTGGCTGTTCCCCGTCTCCTCCCTGCTGTCACAGGGGCCTGCGGTGTTCAGGTGCTGACTGCTTTGTCAGCCTGGGTCCCGGAGTGAAACTCCCGGCAGAGCAGCAGCCAGCCGCCGCGGACGTGAGCAGGACAGAGACGTGCGCGTGTGGATCTGCAGGTTCTTACTGCAGCGTGATGGAGATGAAACTGTCAGATAGAATTTGTCATCCCACCATTCAAAGGTGAGTCATTTGTTAATATTCTAAAGTGTATTTTAGCAGAAATTCCTATATACCAATGAATATACTTAGACATATAATCTTTTTAGAAAATGGGGTAATATATGTCTTGCTTTAGAGCCTTCTTGTTTACTATGTCATCTTTCCCTGTCATAGGTATTTTTATCCTATTCTTAGTGGGCCCCATAGTGTACCACTGCTTGCTTCTGCCAGAAACTTAGTTTTCTAATTTTTTTTTATGAAACTGACGTTTAGTTTTTAAAAATATTTAAAACTTTTTAAAATTTGTTTTAAACAGAGAGAGAGAGAGAGACAGATGGAGCTCCCATCTGCTGATTCACTCCCCAAATGTCCCAAATGGCCAGGACCGGGCTGGGCAAAGCCAGGGGCCAAGGACTCAGTTCAGGTCTTCCACGTGGGTAGCAGGAAGCCAAGTGCTTGAGCTCTCGCTGTTGTCTCCCAGGGTCTGTGTGCACGGGAAAAAGCTCCAGTCAGGAGCCAGAGCCAGAAATCGAACGCTGGCACTGCAGCGTGGGATGGAGTGCCTGCCCAGGGCTTCATTTTTGCTGATTGTAGACTCTGGTGGATGTGTTCTGTAAATATTTCTGTGCATTGCTTTGACCCTTTCCTTAGGTTTAGGACAAATCACAAGGAGTGGGTTTGCTGCCTCTGAGCCTGTGCTCATGCCTGCCTTGGGGACGCAATGCCACAAGCCTGCCCCACCCTCCTTTTTGTTGCCTCAGTCGTCAGTAGCAAGCGTGATTGTCCCCCCCCCCCCGCCCCCAAATGGAGGTAATGAGAAGAGAATTCCCCACCTCCCTTGATAACCAGCTCATGGCCTGCCCCCTTAACATTGGCGTCTGATCAGGGTCAGGTCACGGAGTGCAGGGAGGCGGCCCCTGGAGCTGCACGGGGAGAAGACGGAGCTGCAACCGGCTCCCTGTGTCTCGTGCGCTGCCTCTGAATTCCTCTTACGCAGACCGTCTTTCCATACAACCTCAGGTCTCCCTTCTGTCTTCCCTTTTCTTCCTTCCCTTGTTTTCCCTCGGGGATATTTAAAGCCAATTCTCAAATTATTGTTAGACAAATAACATAATGGAAACGTTAGATGGAATTCCAAATGAAACACACAGACACCCGTGATCGGTGGCCCTGGCAAGTTAAATTGTTCTGATTTGCCCGTGTTCTCTGCATCCTCACCCAAAAGCGTGCTGCCTTTTTGCCTGGTTGTGACCCACGCACAGATCTCATTTTGCATTCTGCCCCGTTCGCTTCTTATTCTTCCTAAGTAGTTTTCCTCCTCACTACATGATTCTCTTCTTTCTCATTTTAATTGTTGGACGCTGTTCCAGTGAGTGAATAATTTAAAAATCGTTAGCCTAATGGAAGTCACTTATGCAGTTATGCAATTTTCCCTGTTAGAACCAATGCTGGCTGGTGCTGCGGCTCAATAGGCTAAACCTCCGCCTTGCGGCACCGGCACACCGGGTTCTAGTCCCGGTCAGGGTGCCGGATTCTGTCCCCATTGCCCCTCTTCCAGGCCAGCTCTCTGCTGTGGCCAGGGAGTTCAGTGGAGGATGGCCCAAGTGCTTGGGCCCTGCACCCGCATGGGAGACCAGGAGAAGCACCTGGCTCATGGCTTCAGATCAGCGCGGTGCGCCAGCCGGCGGCCATTGGAGGGTGAACCAACAGCAAAGGAAGACCTTTCTCTCTGTCTCTCTCTCTCTCTCACTGTCCACTCTATCAAAAAAAAAAAAAAATAAATCAATGCTTCCGTGTGTGTTTTGCTGGGTATGGCATCTGCCTTCCTTTGAATGAGATAGCTGGGTCAAAGGACACGGCTGCTTTCATGATTCTTGGCATGAATTGTTACCATGTTTTCCAAACGGCTTTTCTTTTTAATTTTCCTGCTCAAAAAAAAAAAAATATATATGCCGTATTTCAACCACATGGAACAAAGCAGAAATTCTACTACCCAGAAATTACCACCCCACATTTGGAAAGCCATCCCTCCAGACGCCTCTTGATGCATAAATACACACATAGATGCTGAAATAAAAATAATTTCTTGGGGGCGGGCGCTGTGGAGCAGCCGCTAAGATGCCCGCTTCCCATATCAGAGCGCCCAGGTTCCAGCTCACTCCGTTTTCCATCCAGCTTCCTGCTAATGCGCGTCCTGGGAGGAGGCAGGTGATGATGGGTCCCTGCCTCCCACGTGGGAGACCCTGATGGAGTTGCCAGTCCCCGCGGTGGTGGGCACTTGAGACGTAAACCAGGGAAAGGAAGATCCATCTCTCTCTCTCTCTCTTGCTCTAGCAAATAAATGAAAATATATTAATAAAGCTTTTTAAAAATAACGATTTCTTCAGGGGTGGGTGTTTGGCACAGTGGTTAAGACAGTAAGTAGGGGCAGGGGGTGTGTATGGAGAATTGTGGTGCAATGAGTTAAGCCACCACTGGAGGCACCAACATCCTGTATCAATCAGAGTGCCTGGTTCTAGCCCCAGCCACTCACTGCTTCCTACCGAGCAACTTGCTAATGCGCCTGAGAGGTAGTGGGTGCTGGCCTAAGTACCCACGTGGGACACCTGGATGGAATTCCTGGATCCTGCCTATTGCAGGCATTTGGGGAGGGAGCTAGTAGCTGGAAGATTCTCTCTCCCTCTCCACCCCCCCCCCCCATCATTCTGCCTTTCAAATAACTCTTAAAAACAAACAAAGCAGTGCTTGGGTTTGAGTCTCAGCTCTGCTCCAGGACTCTGGCTTTGTGCTAATGCACACCCTGGGACCAGCAGGTGATGGAGCAAGGACTTGGGTCCCCGCGGCCCATGTGGGAGACCTGGATGGAGTTTTGAGCTCCTGGTTTTGACTCAGCCCAGCTCTGACAGTTGCCAGCATTTAGGGGGAGTGAACCAGCACTAGGAAATCTCTCTCTAATAAATAAGAAAAGGAAAATAAAATACAAGCCATACCAAAGCATAGAAAGTGAAGTGTGAAAATTCCCTTTTACTTCACGTTAATGGGCTCTGGACATCGCATTTCGGGGTTAGCACAGTGAACTCACGGCCATTGGTGGTGCAGACCCAGGCTTCCAGCCCTCCTCTGCATCTCAGTTCATAGCTTCCATCCCCGCGGTCTCCATGTGGTCTACTGGAGCCATCATGTCCGCATTTCAGGCGACAAGAAGGAGAAAGACTGGATGGGTGAGAGCGTGTTTGCCTCCAGATGGGTCAGCCCCCTCCAGGGGGCTTTTGCCGACGTCCACCTGCCTCACACCATCAGTTTGCTTCTAATTGGCTGGCCTTGTCCACAGGGAAGCTGGGCAGTGTCACTACAGAGCTGCCCCACACCCATTGCCCCAAAATACAAGGCTTTAGCTAATTTAAAAAAAAAAAGATTTATTTATTTATTTATTTGAAAGAGTTACATAGAGAAAGGAGAGGCAGAGAGAGAGAGGTCTTCCATCTGCTGGTTCACTCCACAGATG